CATTTTAAGCCAAAATAAACAGTTCTTTTTAAAAAATAAAAGTCTCTCTGAACTATGCACACAATTTACACGTTTCATTTCATATACTTCTGCTCATTTCTCTGATTTACTCATATTCCACTTATGTTCTACACTCTCCTATTTAACCATAAATATACTTTTCCCCAAAAGAACTCTGGCATGCATATTTTGTATATTAAAATATTGAAATAAAAAGAATACTTAAAACCAGCTGTATCAAATCCAAAAAGTGAAATACCTGTAGCTTAGTATATGAAATCTGATTCTCTTTGTGACTGATAAGAACTGTGGATCAGACTTTATTTTCCTTCTCCAATTTTAGAAGTGCTAGAAGAATTAAAAATCTCTAGATGGACTTCTGGGATTTCTCTTCACTGAGGGCTTATTCTCTGCTTTAGCATTTTCAGTGGAAGTTTAATACTACAGCTCCATACTGGCAAAGAACACTTCTCCAGGAACAGTGCAGGCTCCTGAAACAACTCTAGCAGTGTATGTAGTTGTACAAATGTGAACTGGCACTAATGTAATATTTGTGTCATGCAACCACCTGATGCTGCTTTGGAACTTCATAAAAACATTCTGACTGACTTGCCTGTACTGCTTATTTCCTACCTGATGAGTTCTTTGATAATCCCATTTAAACTTACTCTTTCCAAAATGAGTGATCTCTTGTGCTCGGAATTCAAGGCTACTGATAAGAAGGAATCATTCTGGATTTGAAGAAGCAGGCTAAACACTGGAAAGATAAACTAAGACAAACCTTTTATTAGACATTTTTAAGGATTGCTATCTTTTAACCAGACAAGCATATCTAGTAGTTAAAGGCTGAAAGATTCACTTTTAGTGAAGTCTGGCCTTCACAGTGCTTGTATTTAACAGCTGCACTACATAGCAAAAGCAAATTAAACTGGTGTTTGGTTTTACTTCTGGTATGATACAAGTTGTTTGCATTTCAGCAAGCTCCATCTGAAGTAACTGAGAAGGGTTAATTGCAGACCAGTGACCTTAGCTAAACAAAATGTAAAGCTCCAAGTTTTGATGAGAAAGCTCAGTAAGCTATGAGCTAACCCTCCTTTATTGAATTTATATTTGCAAGCTTAACAGTGTGAGGAATGATAATCCAAACAAATGAAAGTTTCCTTATGTCAGTAAAAAGAGCCAAGGACTGTTTGTGCCCTGTACTTCTCCCAAAGCATGATAATGTTTGCAAGCTAGTCATGCTATTGGGATTGTAGGCTTTGCTTAGCTAATACATCACTGCATGACAATAAATGAACACAGCACTGAAAATGTGGGTTTCCTAATGTAAAGGCCTTCAGATGTTCTGGAGAGCAGGACATTCTTCTGCTTTACATGGAGCAGCCAGCATTTCCACTCAGTTTAACTCTAAAGTTACTGCATATCATCTTGTCCCTTCTAATATTAATAGCAAAACTCTCACTGACTTCTCCAGGGGTTAAGAAGGTCTACTACGTTCACTCTGTGTGGAGTTGGAATGGTTTGTTTTGATTTAGAAATCTGATTTTCTCTTACACCAGGTGTGCTTAAAAGTCAGAACAAGTAGCTAAACTTGTCATGATCAAGTGTGTATTTAAGCTGAAAGAACACCTTATCTAGGCTGCGCACAGTCGGGATGCAAAAATTGCCTTTCATTAGTAGCTCTGTGCTTTCATAATTTCAGTAGTTAAGCTAAGTGCATGACTGAAACTTCATGGTATGCCAGCTTCAGTGAAACAGCTTTTTTATTGTCCTAGTTTAGTTATCTCCAGCTCAGCTTACCCAAGGAACAGCAATATTTCATAAACCTATCAACATTTCCCTAATAAATACTTTCTTCTCACACAGAAGCTGCTGAATCAGCCACCAGACATTGGCTAGCTGATAGCGTTTGCTCTTGTGCTCTACTAAACGGTAGAAAATAAACCAAAATTGGATTCTGGTATTGGATCTTCTGTACTTGTTCTCTATTTCTAAACAGACTGCAGTGTTTATAAGAGAAAAAAGAATTTGTTCTGTAAGTAGGCTCTGGGGGTTGTTGTTTTATTGGTTAATAAAACATTCTCCAAACACAACTTATGTGAGAAGGAAAAGATAAATTCTGAAACAGGAAATAAATACAAAGAAACAAATTTTTTAACTCACTTTTGTGCTCTCACGTCAGAACACAGATTTACTTTCCTCTCCCCCAAGTTATTATCACCTTTCACAAAATGGGATGGTGGGGTACATTATCAGAAGGAAGTTAAATAAAGTATCATCCAGATTCACTCAGCTGTAAAGTCCAGATCTTTCATTTTCCCTCTCTGCTGGGGCGTTTATTGGCAACCTCATCCTCTGATGATGACATATAAGCAGGAGGTTGATTTCAGATATGTGCTGCTTTCTACTAAACTTCATTGTCTTTGATGAGGCTATTTTTGCTATCTATTTTTTTTTTTTGTCGATTTATCTACCCGAATCTGCAAGAGCTCTTCAGGTAAGTGAAGGTAACAGTGTTGGGAAAACATTTGTTGACTTATTCATGAACCCGTGCATCAAATAGATATTCAGTTCCAGAAGTGACTCATTTGAAGTAGTTACTGCTGGCAACAGTGGCTGAATAAACTGGTTATATGTGTAATCCCCTACTTCTTGGATGATTTTAGTGATGCGCTACAGATGATTCCTTTCCTCTGGCTTCACTAGCTGTTATCATCTTGGGTTCCTAATTCTTTTTCTCCTTTCTTCCCCCTCGTTCTCACTTTTAACTTCTTTTTTTCTTTTTTTCTTTTTTTCTTTTTTCTTTCTTTTTCAGAGTTCTCTGCTGTAAAAGCATAGAGGAGGGCACTCCTGACAACTGCAGATTGTATAAGCTTCCTCATTTAGATTGTTAAAGTTCAACTTTCATGATTAGTCAAATGAATCAAAAAGATAATTGAGAGAGAGCAATTATGTGACACAGACATTAGTCATATTGCTGATAGCTGGATATATGGGTTTGTATCACCTATACAAAATGTGTCAATGTCAAGCTTGTATTCACTGGGCATTTGTCTTCAAGAAATTGGACCTAGAGTGAATTTTCTCCTAGATTTTTCTTCCTTGATTATCATCTTTCCAACTGTTTGTCATAGCTCTCTGCAGCTTGAAAAAGGTCTAAAGAGAAGGTCACTCATTTTTTCAGATCTTGTTCCTTTCAGCTTAGTCAGTTGCCATGTGTTTCTTATTCACTATGTGACAATGGTATGTCACTCCCAAACCTTCCTATTCCATTTAACTTACCAGTGTCTCTTAAGAGTTTTGTTTCTTTTTGTTTTGAAGAACAATGCATTATGCACTGCTGTAGTTTTGCACACCTGACTTCTCCTGATGTTAATGAGATCCCAGAGTCAAAACCTCTCAAATCTGGTTGAGACCACAAGCTTCAGTCCTCTGCATGATGGAGGGATTCTGGTTTGCAATTTCCTTTTTACATTTTTTGTCTTTCAAGGTTTCAGGCTTGTTTTCAAACTCCAGACACTACAGAATCACTAGTCTTGAGCTGTAGGCTTTCAGTGACGGCCAATTGCTTTCTTTTTCATCCTGTAACGGTGTTACTGGCTCCTGGGGAAATAAACTCCACAGGCATCCTGCTATGTGTTTTGTAACTGAAGCACAATATGCAATTACTGTTATACAGCTTTTGTCCAATGCCAAGCTTTTAGCCCCACACAACTTCTAACGCTTTGTGGTATTCTCAGTTCCAGGCACTTGTAGTAAAAGTACAACTTATAGATATTAATGATTATTTTTATAGAGAACCTTGTGGCAAGGATGCAGAATATACCCCAGAGATGATTTAAGAAACATGGGTAAGGAAAGCAAGTCTATTTTAATATTGCTATCTTTTTCAGGGTCCCTCCTTTTGTTCTTTGCTGTTGAGGGAGTAGGGCTATACATGCTCACTACTTTAGTGGCTCAAAGAAGACTTAAATTTTGACCAAAGGAAAATCTTCTTATGTGTCCGAGTGGAGGTGATCACACATGTGTGCTCCCAGCCTAGCAGGGGACATACCTATTTTCCTGATATAACTAAGGAATGTGGGCCACTGAGAAACAGCCATAGCACAAAGTCCAACATAGCCCTTGTCCTTCATAAACAGTTGCAGAAACTTTTCCTGGTCATCCTAATGCTTAGAGGTCATACCTGAATTAGAAGACCTGTGTTAACCCTGTCCTTTAATATTCCCAAAGTCTATAGGAGAGCCCTGACCACTGCCCAGTCCCTAAACTTCATACTTGCCCCTGAAATTGGTCTGAATGCTCCTCTTGTGGAATAGATTTCAGTCCTCCTGGGCTAGGAAAAGCCTTGCTGAAGCTCACACTGCTTGGGAGAATGCACTACACATCAAGTCACAGAAAGCTTCCCTTCTGTACAATAGCTTGTATAGTGTGCAAAAAAATCATTATTTTCTTTAAAAATTTCATATGTTAAAGAAATCATTCCTG